AAATAATCAGATACCATAAATTTATCCCATTCTGCTGCCAGAAATATTACTTTATTTTAAACTTTTTGATTCTAAGGAAAATTAAATTTAGCAACCACAGTATTTGTAACAGGCCCATCAAACCCCATAAATAGTATTTTGATTGTATTAAAGCAATACTGTCACTGTACATCTAACTCACCCATTTCATTACTCTGCATTTTAGACCAGTTTCTATACAATTTTTTCACTTGTTTAGTTGGCATAATTTGTTTGTTTGGTTTTTTATATTACTACATTAACAGTTATATTGAACTACTCAACTATGAACTAGATATTTCAGAAATACCTTTTAAAGAATGCACTTCTAAAGCAAGTGCTTTATTTCTTCCTTCTTTATATATATTCTCTTTATATACAGAGAAATTATTTCTGAAATCACTGTTCACTTTTCTGTATGCAGCTGTCACTTTTCTAATCTTTGCTATTATCTACAACCCCTAAACAAGCCAGAACTACTCAAAATTGCATGATTCCTGTCTGAGTGAGAAGTAGTGGCACCATGAAACTCATCTCAGAGTGACCTACTGTTTTAATTCCCTTTGCCAGAGCAAAATGTGAAGGACCTGTACTAAAACAGAGGTAGAAGCCAAGCCCTCCTTCGGGACATATTTACAACAGGTGTATCACTAACTCACATGGTGGGGCACTTGTCATTCTGGGATTAAGGATTTTGCCATCGCCCATTTTTAATTTATAATTAATTTTAAGCGAAGGAGATGCAAAGGAATACATTGCTTTTTCCTTAGGGCAAAGCACTTGCACTTATTTTTGCTTTAAAAATCAGTCCCATGTTTGCCAGGCATCATGCACCTAGCACGGCCCTCACATACTCTGAACTTCTGTTACGCCTTATAACATCTGAGGGGAAAATATCAGGACTAAACCAGTGTGAAAAATCCTGATTTAAGAGTCACTGTATAAAAAGTTTTATTTGAGACTGAAAAGAATAACTCACCTCTTTCAGGGACTAATACTAATATTCTGGTGAAAAGTCTGCTTAATTATATTTTATATTTTGGAACAAACATTTAGGGTGCAGTACGTAGAGGCCAAGTTTCATCTTCAATACCCCACCATCTTTCAGGAGGGAACAGCTACTTAGCAAGTGGACAGCTACAGCATTTGCAGACGCTGCTGAAGACAGATTTGTACGTGAGACATAGAAACTAATACCTCGTTTTCTTTACTGTTTTCTCATACAGTACAAGTGGCTTCCATAAGAGGCAGTCCACTACTGGCAAATCCCACAGCTTTTTGAAGGAAGATGAAAACAGCTCTGGAAGCCATCTTGATATATTAACTTGGGTTCAACACAGTGCTAACATGCTTTGCCTCTCAGTAGTGCTTATTAGCTTTGGCTTGACATCACTCATTTATCTCCACGCTGCATTGTGTGGAAATAGTTCTCACTTGGCTCTGAGCACGGAAAGAACACACATGCACTGGTAAAACTCCATGAAGGCACACACCTATATCATGCAAAAAGCTTGTGCTACTAATTAATCCTTAAATTCAAGTAGAGGAAACATATGTCTGAACTGAAAAGCTCTCATTCAAATGCTATGCTTAAGACAGAAAAGATGACCAAATAATTAAAGACTTTCATACTGTATCACAATACAGAGAGATATATATGGAGAGGGTAGAGATATATATGAAGAGATAATACCTAGGAAGTACGTGGTAGAAAAGAGAAATACAAAACCCGTGGGATGATGAACACTTTCTGAGTGACTTGAAAGATTATATCATCACCAGAAATCTCCAAATTTCATATTGTCAAATAAAGTTCACTCTTACAATATGGCTTAAAATTTTTCACCAACGAAGTTGTGTTTTAAACTGATACACATATGGGCAAGCCAGGTTATTTGCTAATTTGCAGAACAGATTTTACACAGACTCAGAAAATTGATGACTGTTGTAGCTATCAAATTCATAACCAGATGGCTCTTCCTAACTTCAGTGAAAGGTAAACTAGACCCAAAGTTTGTAAGCATTTGTGTTTGGACAACTCATTCATACTACAAAGCTGATTACTGTAAACACTTCAGTGAAATGTCAGTCTGTTTTTCACAAAGGCAAAAATACTGCAAGTGACATTGCAATACATTTTTGCTCATATAACTTCTCAATTTCCATTAAAATACTAAAAATGAAGACTGGAAATTACCTTTGCTATTAAGAGTGGTAGCTACAAAAGACATTAAGTGAATGATGTATTTGTCATTTAATTACTGAGATATTACTTTCATTATGCATCAAGTAGAATCATAGAATAGAATCATAGAATCGATTGGGTTGGAAAAGACCTCCGAGATCATCGAGTCCAACCCTTGGTCCAAATCCAGTCCATTTACTAGATCATGGCACTCAGTGCCACGTCCAATCTGCGTTTAAAAATCTCCAGGGATGGTGAATCCACCACCTCTCTGGGCAGCCCATTCCAATGCCTGATTACTCTCTCTGTAAAGAATTTTCTCCTGATATCCAACTTAAATTTCCCCTGGCGGAGCTTAAGCCCGTGCCCCCTTGGTCCTATTGCTGAGTGCCTGAGAGAAGAGACCAACCCCCACCTGGCTAGAACTTCCCTTCAGGTAGTTATAGACGGTGATGAGGTCACCTCTGAGCCTCCTCTTCTCCAGGCTAAACAACCCCAGCTCCCTCAGCCTCTCCCCATAGGACTTATGCTCCAGTCCCTTCACCAGCCTTGTTGCTCTTCTCTGGACCCGCTCCAGCACCTCACTATCCTTTCTGAACTGAGGGGCCCAGAACTGAACACAATACTCAAGGTGTGGCCTCACCAACGCAGAGTACAGGGGAAGGATCACTTCCCTGCTCCTGCTGGCCACGCTATTTTTGATACAGGACAAGATCCCATTGGCCTTCTTGGCCACCTGGGCACACTGTTGGCTCATGTTGATCTTCCTGTCAATTAGTACCCCCAGGTCCCTTTCTGCCTGTCTGCTTTCCAGCCACTCTGTGCCCAGCCTGTAGCGCTGCAGGGGGTTGTTGTGGCCAAAGTGCAGGACCCGGCACTTGGCTTTATTGAACTTCATCCCATTGGAATCAGCCCATCTCTCCAGTCTATCCAGATCCCTCTGCAGAGCCCTCCTGCCTTCCAGCAGGTCGACACTCCCTCCCAGTTTGGTGTCATCAGCAAATTTGCTGATGATGGACTCAAGTAGTATTGTCTTTAATTATAGTAACCTATGCCTAAAAACAAAAGAGAAAACGGTCTGGAAATTTGGTAGTTGCAATATTTTTCATCTTTCCTCTTCCCAGTCTCTCCAGAAATTCTAAAAACCAAGAGTACTTAAAATCCAAAAGGACTATTTGAGAAAAATCAAGAGCAACTTAGAACGCAAGTCCTCAATTTTTTGCATAGTTGTCAAATAAACAGATATTTTATGACATCTTTACAGAATGCCATAAACTAGCAGTTCTCTCATTTTTCAGTCACAGATCTAACTTATCTTTTATTGCCCTGAACCATGTATTTTAGTACCTCTGTCCAACTGGAAATAGAGGCTTAAAGTGTCAGTCAATGACAAACAATCAAGAATGTAATTTATAAAGTTAAGCAACAATGAAGGATATTTATCTTTGAAGAATAGATTCCTATCAGGATTTAACTTGTGATGTCTTGACTTGTGCAGTGACTTTGATCTTTAGTTTCACAGTGTTTCCTACATTGAAAATAAAGTAGCAGCAGTCCAAAATGCCCCCTATTACATCCATTCACAAAAGACACTTAGGACTCTGCAAAACCACCTCCATTCTATAACAGCTTCTTATGTATATTTCACACTAGAATGTTTCACATGCAAGTGAATAATATTTGGTGTTTATGTAGTACTGCAATTCCAACAACTGGTCCCTAGAAAGTTACAAGCAAAAGAGTATTTCACAAACAGCAAATGCAAACAGATCTTCATCCTTCCTTAAGCTAATTAAGACTAAGCACTGCTCTAATTCCAGGAGAGACAAGGATGGACAGACTTACACAGACCTAAAACCCTTCATGGCCATGGTTAGTCCCTTGACTTAAACGGACTATTTACATAGGTATAGGAACACAAGTTTCTGGTCAATATCCCAGTGCTGAAAAAGCTGTGTTTATTTAAGTTTTTCTATTCCAGAGTCAAAACTGTGAAGCAAAATAAAGTGAATTTGCACTTACTACTAATTTGCATTGAAAAATGACACGGATACACTATTTTTGGCAGGGCACACGGGCTTAGACCCAAGACTGCTAATACATATAACTCACCATCACGGGCCCAAAGCCAGCGCTGATTTATGGTGGCTAGGACACACCGGGAAAAGCACTTCATCACTGATGAAGGGTTTTAGTATCTCCCAGACAAATGAATCCCATATATTGAATATTTAAAGCTGAGTTGGTAACACCGCTATATATTTTCTCAAAACACAAGTTAGCATAATAAATGAGCGGGAAGACCATTAATAAGGTGTAGCAAGAGTACTGGCGCTCCTAGGCGCGAAGCTGCGCAGCCTTTACACACAACACGAAAATTAAATAAAACAAATTAAAAACCGAGACTTTCCCTTTTACAAAAATTGGGGCGCAAAACGCTTTGGCGCTAATTTAAGACCCACGACCCGCAGCCCCGCGGACCCGCTTCCCTGCGGCGCTACCGCGGCACGGCCGCGTCCCGCCTGCTCCCGGCCCTCCGCCGGGGATACGAGGTCGGGGCTGGGGCTCGGAGGTCGGGGGTCGGGGCCGGAATCGGAACCAGGGGTCGGGGCCTGGGTCGGAACCAGGGGTCGGGGTCTGGGCTCTCCCCATGGGGCCGAGGCCGCTCGTCCCGGGGAGATGCGGCCCCGCCGGGTCTCACCTGGCCGAGGGCGGCGGGGCCGTTGAACATGGCGGCGCGGGCGGGGCGGTCACTCGGGCCGGGCTCTCTTGGCCGGTACCTGCTCGGGTTCCACCGGCGGCGTCTGCTCGGGGGGCGCGGGGGAGTCGCACAGGCTCGGGTTCGGGCACAGGCTGCGGTGCCCGCGGGTCCCTGCCCCGCGCCAAGTGACGGACACTCGGCCGAGGCTGTCACAGAGCCCGCACGGGTGTCCCGAGGCTGGCTGTGTGAAGTGACGCTGTGTGTCACCCACGGACTGTCTCAAGTCAGTCAACAAATCTTGCTTACATCAAAACTCGTGAAATACATTCGCCGTTTGCTCTTTAAGCCTTAATTTTTTTTTTCCCCCACCTTCAGGAAGATGAGGGATGAGCTGGAGCAGCCACATCAAAGTCCTTGGTTTTTAGGGAATTAGAATGACCTTGCGGGTCTGGCGTTTTTCTCCGAGAGAAGGAAAGGAGCAGGACGGCCCCATTAGTTTTAACACCACTGGCAAGAACAAGCAAACACCTGATGGCTTCAAAAACCTCTGGGAAGAAGGTTATGGGGGAACCAATTTGATTCTGGGCTTTATAATATTAGTCAAAGGAGATCTTCCCTTGAAGTGACTGCTTTTTTGATCACAGCGTTTCTTCATGAAACTTTGTAGCCTTTTTACAGAAAAGTAGTGGAATTTTCTTCCTCGAAGTGTGTCTTAATGTTTCTACAAAGAACAATTATTAAGACCCTTGTAACCCATCACGGTGTGATGAAATACACGAACTGAAAGGGCTGAGCCACCAATGGGACCCTGCTGTGCTCAGGCCACATCACACTGCTCACCTTCCTTGCTTTTCCCCCTGAAAGGTACTGTCCTGGTTTTGCCAAGGAAGGGAATGAGTTAAATCAATTATAAGATGTATTTAGGTTTCTCATTTTACCTTGGGATTTTCTAAGAAATCACATCCAGTGTAGTTTTATCATACACTGGATTACACTGAGTAGAGTTCTTGGGTACTGGAGATAAGCAAAACAATAATACTAAAACAGAGCTACGGGTTATTAAATAAAAACAGTAAATAGAGCAAGGACAAAAGAGAGATGATGATAGCAAGAGAAAGGTTAAAAAGCTATTGTGGAATTCTGTAGCCAACAGAAACTACATAGTTCATTACATACAGTTTAACCTGAAGTCATCTTGAAATTCATTACACTCAACGCTGTATCTGAAAAACCTGAATCATTTGTGACAGGAGTTATGCTAAGGCTTGAGTAGTTTGGAAATTCCAGTTAAAAGTTGAGAGTCAGGCTGAAGAGCCTAAAATTATAAAGGTACATGAAGCAGCCAGCTGTGAGTGTAACATATGTCAGCAGCTACTTGCCTACTCAGGGCAAAGCCAGGCTGCCCAAGCCCCCTTTGCCAGCTGCCACAGGAAACTGGTTTTAGACATATGCTGAGGGGGATTTTTTTTTTCCTGTTTCTTCCAGTTTTACCGAAAAAAATCCATATCATATGACTCAAAAATAGCAGGTAATATATTACTAGCAAGGAACTTGGTGTCATTAAATTGGGTCCATCCACAGCCTGAGCACATTGTACTTCCAAGGTCTGTTTTGGAATTATGGCAATGTGGGAAACACTGTAAAAATAATATAATGAGACAATCAAGACATTTGTTATAATGACTTCTTTAAGATTATATCTGTATATCAGCTGCTGTTAGTACCTGAGCTGCTGGGTTATGTACTTTTCTTTGGTTAAATATTTGAGGCTGCTCTGCAGTGAGCATTCAGCAAGTGTATGAGTAATAATTTGGGGAAAACTGTGAGAACTCACACACATTTATCTTCACCCCTTACATGTTACAATGTCTTTCAGTGAAGAGGTTTTTACTGTGTCTTGGACTAGGAAAATGGAACATATGGACATCCCTTCTTGTTGTAAATGCTCTAGGCATAAGGTGTGGTTAGGTCTCCTGTCTTAAATTAAAATACTGGGAAGTTAGTAGCATCATGCTGGGAACCGAATTGATTTAATTTAGGAGAGTATTCAATGTGCACTAGATATCTGATGTGTGATATTAAACCCAGCCATTTTTAAAGGACCCCCACTGACATAGCTTGGGTTTGTATCCATAGGAGTAGTTCTGTAATTTCCTTCATCCTTTCCTGACTTTGCCTCTTTTTGTACTATTGCTCACACTTGGAGCAGCCTGCCAGTTGATATATGGGAAGGGGCCTCCCTTCCCTCTGTGTAAAGCTCCATTTCAGCTCTAATGACCATTTGCCAGTCTGTTCTGTGCCATATTGTTCTGAATGAGTTTTCTTTGTGCTTTTTTAGACTGACAGTTCATGTAGTCTGGAGATCTTTTGTCTTTCTAGTTCACACCGTATTTTGTAAAATGCCATGTTATGTCTTGAGATCTATATAAATTATAAATACTAGTTAAGCTAAGAGAAGACACCCAGGCATCCTATGAAATGTTCTGTAGTCCCTTCCTGCAATTCTTGATGCGCAGGGAGGGGAGACACGATGTTATTGCTGCTTGCTTAGTCTTCACTTGGTAACAGCTGCCATGGAGCTGAAGCATTGCTCCAGTGCCAGGCCAGCCTCCATATCTTTTGCACATTACTCCTCAGCCTTCCTAAGTTTGTTTGCCTAGATTTCATCATGCAGAGTAATTTAACTGCATGGTCACCATTGTATCTATTACTCTTTGTGGATGTCTGAACAATTTCCAGCAGAATGGTTCCTCCTTCAGCCATGTACACTCTGAATTTTGTCTCATTTTCATTTGTACCTTGGGCTTCTGATATAAATACTGTAAAAAAAAAAAGTGAAATTCATTAGTTATTCTGACTGTCTCTTTGATATCCTAGAACAAAATAATTTCTTTTAAGGATGGAATAATACCTTTGATTCAGAAAACACAGCAATTTGGAGAAGGCAGTTCTTGGGTAAATATGCTAAACTTGAAATCATGAAGATAAGTATTTAATGAGGATGCCTAACTAGTTATCCAGCATTCATGGATGTAGAAAGATAACCAGCACAGAGCTAAAAAGAGTATTAATTTGTGCCTCTTTTTTTCACTGTGTTTGGTTTAATTTGGGGCAACTGGTATCTGTTTACAGATAAAATAAATGTAACATCTGAAGACAGGCAGTAAATTTCTTTAACTGAAAGACCCATCAGCTTTATGCAGTATATGTGTTAATGGCCTTTTTTCCTTCAGAGTAGTTCACTGAAGCTGTGTAAGAATAAGGAAAGTATACAGGAAAAGTGAAAACCTGCCATGGTTTTCTACAGTATGGAAGCAACCTGTACTTAAGTTAGGCAAGTCATGTTAAAGTGAAAAATGTTCTCTTTGCACCTCCTATTGTGCTTTACAGAAGTTACAGTCTTCAAACACCCCAAACTATACCAATCTATTGGTTGTTTCATTTCAGCTTTGCAGTGTAGAGGGAGATTTTGTCTAATATCTTTTATAGTTTGTTCATGCTTCTTTGATTCAGAGAATTTTTGAAGAGGATTAAAGGAAAACAGCCTCTGGATGACTGGTGGGAACTTTAAATAGCATAACCACTCTTCTCTGTCCAGTAAATCCATTACATGATAAACTATTGATTTTTATAACACAATTAAGGTGCCAATGATTTCTTAAGAAATCATTCTACATTTTTTGTATTATGCACTCAGCACATTATCTATTGTAAATCGGATGATAGTGTTTTCAGTCTGGAACAAAACCATCTTCATGCTATTCTCAGAATGAGAATAGCATCTCCACACTAGTCTCAGTGCTGCAGAGGGTTTTGCCTCTGAAATGAACTGATGGTCTTCATCAATTTGATTGTGCCATATATATACAAAAAATTTTTAACCACTGTCATTTACTACTATTGGGACATTCTTAAGGCAGGTAGTTTATTGTGCCTCAAAAGTTTTAGTAACTTGCACTGACAAGAATAAAAATTGAAATTTCACAAGCAGCCTCATGATTTGGGGTTAAAATGGATGGCTGTCTGGACTCACAGAGGAATTTCCTCATCTCTCCATCACGTAGTTTGTACAGTGAAGGAGAATGCCATGGAGTATTTCCTTTGAAGCAGCATGAAGTATTAGAAAGCAAGATATTGGTTGCAATGGGTCAAAACTGACTCTTCTATTCTGACATTTCCTGTGTTCTTTTGTGCTGAGGCAGGATGAACAGAGCCTTTATTTGTTCTGATAACTCTGTGGGTTTTTTTCCCTTTTCTTTCCACTTTTGATTTTATTTTTACTGACAAGATAGGAAAAGAAGTCAATATATAGTTTGATGTTGCTCATCCAACTTGTCAGATTTTTGTTTAGTGTTTTGATACTGTTTTTTCATTCAATTATTGTTCACATTGTTGGGGTTTAAGGTTTAAGGTTTCTCACAGTATGCACTGCATATAAATGCCTCTTGTGATATCACTTGTGATATCTTTCAGATTAATCTTTTTAAATTAATGTTGTTTTTTTCAGAAATACAAGTACTTTCAAATAAAACTCTTTGCACATTTGGAATACAAATAAACCTACAAACCCAAATACAAATTGCGAGAAACGAAGAGCATCTGCAGTTTTCAATTATTTCCTTTGGGCTGAGGCACTGGATACCATGCAGCACTTTCCATTTTGGCTCCTATGAAATGGTACTGTGAAAAAAAGTCTTCACAAAGACAGATTTCATGCAGATTTGTGCCCTGAATTCCTCCTGTCTAACGACATCAACCTCCTCTGTCTCTTGTGACTCCCTTAAAACAGCAACCCCCCTTGTCTTTCCTTTTAATTCTGTAATATTTTCACATTTCTATGTGTCTTGTCACTTTTCCTGTATCTCGACTGGTTTCTGTTTTCCTAAAACTCTTCTTCCTGCAGTGCAGAGCTCCCAGGTGTCCAAAGTTCTCTATGTGCTTTTTTCTGCTCAGCAGCCAGAAAAAGAAAGTACGTGCTCTGTGGTGTCCAAGAGTAGCTGTGCTGAGTGGACAGCCAGTGAGTGAATGTCAGCCCGGCTGCTGCCAAAGAAAATGAATAGTGACTTAATTTCTTCCCACCTTTCACTAATGGCAGCATCAATAACATCTGTTCTCCACCCTGCTGTTGATTTTCATAAAACTTTCAGGAGCTTAATATCTTAGGATATTCCATGAGAAGTAAAGCTAAAAAATGTCACCAATTTTGAGAGGAAGGTTTGAGTCCTTGACCTAATGTCTTACATTTCTATGTAATACAGTGTATTCTGGAAGTTGACTGTCTTTTGTTCATACCTTTGATTTGAAATATAAATCAATACTTACTGAGTTATGACTGAGTAGCTGGTTGTCCAAAACCCCAACATTGGTAAGGTTAAAGCTGTGTTTTCCTTTCAGACACAGTCAGCTCTATTTTCTGTTGTAAGCAGAGTGAAAAGGACAGGGGCCATTTTGTAGATAATTTTTTACTAGATTTGCCTTAAACAAGTTAAAACAAATGTTTCTATATATTTCTGAGTGGAAGCTTAAAAATTCTTCTGTCACAAGGGGAGCATGAACAAACCTAAACCTACCAAAATGAATGTGACATGCCTGTTATACATTTATACGCTCCCTTGTAGAGACTTCGTCGTAGGCAGTGGGACATAAATACATTGCTCCCTTCCAAAGCATGAATTCTGCATGACTTTAACTGCTTCCTCTTAAAGGATAAAAGCATTATAACTTGAATTACTCTAAATTTGATTTTAAATTAAAGAATTAAGTACTGGGCTTACCTGTGGAGGAGCAGCCACCCTCACAGAGGATGATTTGTGGAGAGGTACATTTATTTATAGGTTTGCATTGCTAAGGTGAAAGCACATGATGCTTTGAGCACGTGTGCACTGATGATTTGAGTTTTCACAGAACTCTGCTAACAGTTTGTATGCTTTCATCATTAGATCTTAGGGATAAAGCCAAACATGAAGTAACTGTAGACTTTAGGGCTTTAGGGAATTGCTAAAATATGAAGTTTTTCAGTCTCTTCAACTAGTGTTGTGTTACCCCTGGGTTGTGTAGAAGTTTGGGATACACACCCTCAGCTCTGGGGGCTGTGTCACAGAGCAGAAGAATTTGAGATGCCAATCACTGTATACAGTACATTTTATTATCACTTCCTTCCTCCATGTTTTAAATTTTTTTCCTAAGAAGATGTAGCCCAGAGACCTAGGACAAATCAAACTGGCACAGTGCAGGAGTCCTGCACACCAGTGCCATGACGATGATGATGTGAAACTCTGTGCTTGTTGGCTCAGTTCTTTGTGATTGTCATTATGAACCTGGGAAAAGAGGTCACATTTTCACCTTGTCCCTTCCCTGACTGAACTTTCTGTTTGTTTTGGAGCCTAATGCTAAAGGTGTAACTTTCTACCACAGGCTACTACAGAACATGCTGCACCTCGATACAACAAGAATCTAAAGACAGGGAAGATGGGCAGTTTCTGTGCCCCTGGGTAGCTGCTGAGGTAAATAGGAACGCTCAGGTCCAAGTGATGATGGAATTTGGTTTAGCCCAGCAACAGCAAACACTGGCACCAATGTCACATTTACCACTAATAGAAGTTTGGATTATGAGCAATGAAGGTGAACTGTGCTGGATAAAATATACAGCACCTGGCACTTTTGCGAACAGTCTTTCAGCAACTTGTCCTTTTGGCCACTGCTCAGCGCTGATTTGATGGAATACATTGAGGATAAATCCATGGGGACATCGTTGATAAGATAACTCATTTTCTATATAGCAAAATGCAATTGGATTCCTCTAGCTGGACTGTAGTTGTGTATGTGATTTGGAATCTCCTAGGGAAATTAGAGATAATGCTCGTCAGAAAGAAAGTTGCAAAGCAAGTAAAGAATGAGTGACGGTCTGAGAACTACAGGAGATACTGGAAAATTTTAGTTGAAGGTGTAGTATACAGTACAATTTTTAAGGATTGGTCTTCTGACTAATTTTTTTTTTTTTTAATTTTTGTTCATATCGTTTTCCCAAAAAGGAGATGTGTATATGTGAAATATACGGATGAAAGAACTCTGAATAGGAGCAGCCTGTCCTATAGGAAGACCTGGATGAACTTAGGGCTTGGAGTAGTGAAATCAGATGAAATTCACTGCTGTGTGGTGCAAGGTCAGGCATTTGGAGACTAATAAGTTGCAAGCTCGTGTATGGGAAATGACTGAGGAAGCAAAAGAAGTGCCGAAGCTAAAGAGCAGTGTTGGCAAAAGGACAAATGAGTATAAAGCAATCATGAATACAATTAAATTTGGAAACTAGAAGGACATTTTTAGTTGTTGATGAAGTAAAATTCTGGAACAGCTTTCCCGTGAGAGGTGTGGGGGCAAAACTAATTCTAGTGCCTTCTACTACAAAACTATGTAAGGGGGTTATTATGACATGGTGGCTTGAATGACGAACAGATTAAACCCCCAGAGGTTATGTCTCTTTTCTTAGGAGTAAATTTATACGTGAATTGACTTTTTTTTTTCTTGCATATTTTTCTCTTCATTTCTTGGGATTAAGACCCCAAGACCTGATCAGCACCTTATCTTGGACAGATATAAAAAAATGGGAAAATATTACACCATATATGAATCTTTTTATTAAAGACATTAAAGATACCTGGTAAATTTTTTTACCTGAAATTGATAAAGCAATATCAGGACCATAATTAATCAGGATCCAAGTAAACACATGGTTTGGGACAGGTTTTCTCAGTTGCCCCATAGTTCAGCCCTCCATGTCTCTCTATTAACTCACAACTGCCTTTTAAAGCAGCCTTTCCAGCCACTTTCCCCCACCGCCCTTTTTGTCTAGGGTAAGAAAAGAAAGGACCTGCACCCTGGTCCCTGTGGTACCTCTGTGGCAGAAGCTCTTTGTGCATTAAAGCACTCAAGCAGTTGCACACATTTATTGCAGAGTTTATCAGTGCCAGGGACTGTGGGATGAAGTGCCCCCACAGTATGTTTGTGGATGACACAAAGCTGAACGGTTCAGCTGAACCAACAGGCGGACAGGATGCCATCCAGAGGGACCTGGACAAGCTTTAGGAGTGGGCCCATGAGGACCTAATGAGGTTCGACAAGTCCAAGTGTTCAAGGCCAGGTTGGATGGGGACCTGTGCAACCTGATCTAGTGGAAAATGGCTCTGCCCATGGCAGGGGGTGTGGAACTAGATGATTTTTAAGGTCCCTTTGAACTCAAACCATTTTATGATTCTGTAATACCAGTCCTGCTTATTCCTCAAACCTTACATGTAGCTTCTACTGCTAATTCTTTATTTAATATAAGTAAAAACAACTAAACAACTTTTTTTGCAAAGGCATCTTGCCACATCCAGTGACAAGTTTGTGGGACATCTGTTTGCACTGAGGAGAAGCTGGATATTTGAGAGTAATTGATTAATGGATTCACAGTGTTTCTTGTAGTTGTGCCACCACTGCAAAATGAGAGTGAAGAAACAAAGAATGCTTTGCATCTGTCAAGGCCAGCATGCCAATGTGTGGAGATCACAGCAGGGAGAACAGGACCAGCCACTACAAAATGCTTCTTTGCTCTTGTATCTTTTTAAAGGATTCTTTTTATGTTTCAGTCCTGTGCAAAGAGCCAGACCCTCATTTGTGGCTGCGTGTGAAGGTGACATAAAGGTCATCTTTTGTGCCACAAGTGCCCTGAAGCCATCCAACTTCTGCTGCAATTCCTAGGGAAAGCTCACCTCCCATCATTTCTCTGCCAGTATCTATAGAGGCTGTACTGACAGCTTGGGACTGCAGCACATTCAGGGTGCTTTGGAAATTTCCTGCTTCTTTCCAGTGACCAGCTAATGGGTTTTAGGGCTGCTTGAAGGCATTAGAATAGTGAATGCCAGCTGGCAAGCAAAGCGGGATCAGGCTCCATGGGGGAGAAGGGATATAGCCTTAGGTGGTTGAGAGGAGAATAAGGCCTCTGCCTCCTGTGGCTTCTGTGCAAGGTGCTGCAAATGCTGTCAGCATTTTCCCCTAAGGATCAGTAGCAATGCTTTGGGGAAATACTCTGAGGGTCAGTCAATAAAGTCAATTGCCTTTCAGGCCATATTTTGAATGGTTATGTGGAGCCATTGGCACTGACCTGAAATGTGAAAGAGATCTCTGTAAAGAGCTACAGAAATGAGGCATTTTGCACTGGCTTTTCCTGGTTTTCCTGCTGTGCTGTCTATACACTGGCACTCTAGCCATGGCAGATGCAAAGCATTTTTGTTCCCTCATTTTCGGTCTGTGACTGTGATATCCATTACATCAGACACTGAGCACCTATTACACAGACTCCCTCAAATCCACTCAGTTCTTTTTTCCAGTAAATATGTTGTACAGATTCTGGCTTGTTTGCCACTCTGGATCTGATTGTTTCTTGCTACAGCTTTTCCAGATTCAGCCCTGATGAGGTTGTCACTGAGGAGCTAACAGGGCCCACAGGACAAGACACGCTCTCCTTTGAGGCTGGTCCCAAAGCCCAGCTCCAATTCTACTTCCAGCTTCACAGCTGGATGATGATCATTCACTCCCATTGTCAGAGGGAAGG